TATATAAATCATCCAAGAAAGATAAATACAGTGTTCGAATAAAGGACATGATAAATTAATACATTGTGTAGTATAGCTCTCAACGAATGTTGTCCTATAAATAAATGAATAAAGAAATTGTGTAATAAAATGTCTCTAACGGGATTCGAACCTGCGAGGCACTGGGAACACAAATAATGTATAAATCATATAGATAATAATACAGTGCTCAAATATAAAAGAACATGATCTTATAAATGTTATTAAACATAGCTCATTAACGAAAGTTCCTTATTAGTTTACTACAGTAATACTATTATTTTGTATACATTCATGATTCCAACTTCTCAAACTTGCAGGTACTTGTGACAACAATGGGACGTGGTGCAATTGTAATGTGAACGATAATGTGCTCCGTATGGACCAGGGCTACCTTACCGATAAAACAAAATTACCTGTTTCGCAGCTGTGTTTTGGAGATACAGACGATTCTGGTGAGAGCGGCGTCTACACACTTGGACCATTGCAATGTGCATAGAATGGATTGTTAAGCTCTGTCTACACTATCCGATTTTATGTGATATGCCTATAATTATGATTTCATATAATGATGATGTCATATTACACCCAAATATGTGCATATCACATTATTTTTCAAATAAAATTTGATACTATTAAAGGGAGCTTAGAAAACACATTAAATCACAACAGCCATGCAGTTTGCAGGCAAAATGTTACAATATTTTGTACTTATATAAACTGTGGAATTAATTTAAAAGTGGAAATAAACATTTAAAATTGTATAGTTTATTTGAATAGAAGTGGAATTTTAAAATTGTATCACAACGCCTTTAAGTAAGTTCGTTACTATTTGATTGTTGAAAATACATTTTTAAAAATAGGTAAAAAATAATCTATGTGTATGATTAAATTACATCTGAAATGTTAGACTAATTATTCCCTGTTTAAGACTGTGAAAGTCGATGATTTAATTAAGACATGACGACATCGTTTTTATTCTGACATCTTATCCTCGATCAGGTATTAATTTAATAAAAGGCTGCCGCTCGCGCTCACACACTAGCCACACTGGAAGTCAATTCAAAGTACCGGTACGCATTATTGTTAACGGCATGAACCTGTAAAACGTGGCTACATATTGAAGAAATATTTGTAATTTTAAATTATATGAAAGTGTCGTCTTACAATAGGCATGTAAATACTTTTAAATTATCAATAGATTATCCATTAACATGACTTAACATTATCTACAAAATGCAAATATATGGAATGGGTGTGCTGAGCACGAACAGGTTTTTTTTTCCCTTTTTTTCTCTGATGTTTTGTTTTTGTTTGACGGATTAGATTTTCTCTTAACTAATGATGCTATCATAAAATGCAAATCAACTCATGATGCGTCACTGAGCTGCTATATTTTATGAAATTTACGTGTTTTATATTGTTGTTGAATAAAGAAATACCGAGA